AGAGCAGCTCCCGCGAAGGGCGAGGGGCGGCTTTTCCACCGGGCACCGATGGCCGCAGGCGCAGGCAGGGGCACCTGGATGCCTGAGCGCGATCTCTATCCAAAACTCGTCCCCTCTCTGGGCAGCCACCCCTGGTGGCACTGCGGCCATCGGGGCTCCTCGCCGTGGGCCGCTGCCGGCAGTTATCTCCAGCAAGGACACGCGCTTGGAGCAAGCGTGCCGCTCCTGCCTGACTTCGAAGGCAGCGGCTTCTGCCATAATGAGGCATAGCCCAGTTTCAGGTGGAGTTAGCCCCGGGGGAAACATGAAACCAAACTACTGTTCATCAGAAACTGGGTAATGAGGCCGTTTGGGTTATTTGTAGCTCTCTGCGGGCTGGGATGGCCTCTCCTACCTCTCCCCAGGCAGAATCCCTCCTGCAGGGACCCCAGATCATTTTGCTAAGCTCAAATTGCCCTGTTTTGTGCTCGGAGAATCCAGGCTGTGAGTTAACCTGATGGGTGCCTGCAGCACTGAGTGGTGTGACCTCTCACCAGCCTAGATGGATCTGGTTGTCCACTTTAGTGCCCAAACCCAGAATTTCTGCAACATTGATCCAAATTTGCCCATTTTTGAGGGGGTGCACATGACCCCATGGGATACAGGGACAGGACAGCATTGCTCTGCAGGACTCTGCGGGTTTTGCAAGTGGGTCTGCATCCAGCGTCTGCTTGTTCCTCCCTGTGCATCTCTGCTTCAACACCAGCCCCATCTGGCTTCTCCTTCCTGGGGGCTCGGTCACCTTGGGCCTGGCGGCAGGGAACAGCCGAGCTGCAGCGATCAGTGCTGCGACCTTGGCCAGCGTCCTTCAGAGCCGGCATCCTTCAGAGCTGGCCTCGCGTGGCTGAGTCCCCAGGCTGCCTGTGGCGGGGCCAGCCCACGTGAGGGTGCGGGGACACACATCCCTGCAACCCCCGTTAATCTGCCCTGGCTGTCATGGGCAGCCTCCTCCGAGTGCGCTGTCGCTGCACCCCTCAGCTCAGGGCAGAGGCAGTGGCTGCCCCCCTCTGATCAACCATTCAGGTCACTCCCGCATCGATTGGGTCTGGAGTGTGCTGATAAACTGGCTTCGGAGCCACAGGGACTCAGGGAGGTTGAAAGTCCATGTCTGACGAGCTCTGCGTGTCATGGGGCTGTCCCAGCATGTCCCCAGCCCCGGCCTGCTTCTGGCAGGCTCTCCCCGTGCACTGGCACAGTGTCTTTGTTTTGCACCGCTCGTCCTCCCCCCGTGGGTCAGACCCCTGGCCAGGGGGGCCCTCTGCTCCACCCCCCTCCTCACACAGCTCAGGGCTGGGCTCCCCCGAGGGGGCTGCACCCTGCCCTGTGTCACCCCGCTCCTGTCCCCCCTGCGGCACAAGCATGGCTGTGCCTCCACGGGAGAGCAACAGATGCACCCGGCCCTTCGGGCAGTGCTGGGCAGGCTTGTCCTGTGATTAAACCAGCCTGAAGCCCCACTTCATCGCTCCAATTGCCCTGTCGATAGCCAGGCATTAGAGAGGGCTGCTGGACCGGTTCTTGCGCACTGACACATCCCCTGTCAATAACGTCTGGATTTAAGTCTGTGGCTCAGAGGATCTTTGCTTATCTCAGCTCCCTGAAGCACTTACGTTCCCGGGCATCATAACTCCCTGCCTGTAAGTGGAGACAGGCACCATTAGACCCACAGCAAACAGCTACTGCAGCAAGTTTTGCTGGCAAAAGTGCAGCAAAGGTATTTTCCACCTGCTCTTTTGCAGGTGAGCTTCCTGCAGGCTGCCAGGCTGGGGCTTGGTGTGGAGACGGGCACAGCCCCAGAAGTGCCCACATCCTCCTTCCCCAGCACCCCTCGTGCCTCTAGCAGACATGTGTGCTCACAGACCTCTCCAGAGCGAGGGCAATGCAATGATTTATTTTTATACAGCCCATTTCATTTATCATCAGTGCATCAGAAAGCGACAATTCACCTTTCAATGCACCAGCTGAAAAAAACCCGGCTCCACTCTGCTTGGCAGCGCCTCAGATTGGCCCTTTCCTGAGGCTGGGTGTTTAGCAGAGACTTAGAGCTCAATCTGTTTAGCTTATCGAAAAGTAGCCCGAGATGTGACTTGATTACAGTGTGAAAGTACCTTTCCAGGGAGAAAACTGCCAGGTATTAAAGGACTCTTTAACTTGAGAGAGGAATAATAAGAACTGAGGGCTTGAAGATAAAGTCAGACAAATTGAAACTCAAAATCAGGCGCAGGTCTGCAGCACGGAGGGCGCAGAGCGGCTGGAGCAGGATCACAGGGCGCCTTTCTCAAAGTGATGCCCTGGCTGGACCGCGGGTGCCTGGGGCCAGGGGTCCTGACCCAGGGGGCTGCTCCGTCCTGCCCCTACGGCTCTGGCCCTGCACGGATGCAGGCTTGGGCAGCAGCAGGATGAGTCTGGTGGCATCCATGGGCGAGGGGGATGGGGGACTGAATTTTGCTTCCCAGGCACATCTGAAAATCTTGCTGTCGCACGGCATCTCTGCCAGAGCCCGGGAGCACGTCAGCCCCCGAGGTGACCTTTCCCGGGACAGCTGGAGCCTCCCTTTCTGTACCAGGGGAAATTCCAGCCTGGTGAAAACTGCGCGTCATGGAGGAACTCGATCCTGAAAACCAAAAGCCCTCTCTCCATGCTGCTCCCACCTCCCCTCTCCTCCACTGCCAGGAGTGCATGGGAGCCCACAAAGTGCATGGGGATGTCCTCGTCTTGCTCTGCTCTGCCGTCCCCACGACCAACGGCTGCACGTCTAATGATTCCCTACCGGGAGTTAATCTTGACTGTTAGCATGTCAGGTTGCCGGCGGATTAAACAAGGGGATTAGCATCAAACAATTTCCCTCCCGCCCTGAGCGGGGAGGCAGGAAATATAATCACTGCGGTTTTATTCTGCTTAGGCTAAAAAAGCTCCCTGGCATGTGGCTGGGTGATGCCAGCTGTGCCGGTGGCACAAGGAGGCACGTGTCCAGGGTGCTGCAGGGGCAGCGCTGCCTCTGCTGCACACAGGTCCCTGCCGGCACCGTGATGGGGATGCCGAGACCAGGGGCTGCTTGTCCCCGGGGGGCTCGGGGAGGTGCTCCTGCTGGGTGGCACTCATGTAACTGCTGCAGCCTGCACCCGGGGTGCTGGGTGCAGCTGTGGCTGGATCAGACCAACCCACTGCCCAGATGTGAGGGGCGCATGTGTGCAGCAGCTGATCTGCTGGGCTCGGGGCAGGGGCTGCAGCCGTTCACCAGATGCCCCCGAGGAGGGCACAAAAGCTGGGGCTGGAGAGGGGGAAGCTCCCAGCCCCCAGGCAGCGACCGAGCTGCCCCAGCAGCTGCAGGCCTGGGCTCAGCTGTGGACAGCAGAGGATGGAACAGCCTTGCAGGTGCAAAAACAAATCTGTCTTCCCAACAGCTACCAGGTTCCAGAGCCAGGGGACGGTGACACAGCTCTGATCCGGTGGCTGTGGCGCTACAGACTGGCCAGCTTTTATTCCAAGCTTCCTCCCCACCTGCGATCACAGGATCCACTGTCAGCATCGGGGCACAACACTGCCCTCTCAGAAACTATATAAAAAGTAAAATAAACTCTCTAATCCAGGGTATGTGTTTGATAAAGAGAACTCACACAGCTTGGCTGGTGGCAGGGGCAGAGCAGCCAACCCCGTGCTCGGCACAGAGACTCGACATCCCTTCAGACCAAAGCGCCGCGGGTGAGCAGCCAGCCTCACATCCCTGCATCCTCTTTGGCCCAAATCGCCTCAGTCCCTGGAGGTTACTCAGCTGCTTTCATCTGAGGAGCATTTCCAGGGCAGCCAAGTCCCTGGTCAGCTGAGGAGGATGGGACCCCTCGCTGAGACCAGGCAGCGGCTGGGCTGTGGGCTGGCAGAGGGGCGAGTGCCCGGGGTGAGCTTGGCATGGCACTGCCTGCAGAAGCGTTGCCCTGGGGAAGGGGGTGGCCTGGCAGCGGTGGGTGGGCTGGCGTGGGGCTGCAAGGAGTTGGGACACAGTCATTTGCTTCCTCATCAGATGGCTGAGAGCAGCAGAAACCCCATGGAGATCTCCCCCCATGGCCCCTGGGATTCTGGGTCTGAGCCGGTGCAGGGGCTCCTCCTGCCCCGGAGGGGAGATGCTGCTGCGAGTTATTCCTGAAGGGGGATTTGCTGCGAGTTATTCCTGAAGGGGGATTTGCCATGTGTCTCCTCCTCCAGCGACGGGCTGCCTGCTTCTCCCCGACTCGAGACAGGACCCGGCGAAGCCATGGGCTGCTCCCCAGCAGCAGCACAGGCAAGATGTGGCTCCTCTCCCTGCAGCTGCCTCCCCCATGCCACAGCCCCATGAGAGGGAAAGCTCTCCTGCCTCTCCTGCCTCTCTGGGCTTCCTGCTTTTAGGGAAACTCATGGGAACCTCCTCGCCCTAAGACCAGTCAATCATCTGAAATCGGCCAAAAGGTCCTGGGTGGGTACTGATGCACGGGCAGATGCTGCCCCGTGCATGCACACCTCACTTTTCTAGGAAGCCAGGCTAAAAATACTGTCCTAGGGCTGTGCAGCGAAAGACTGGGCAGACTTTCAGCAACTGGAAGCCCGAGTGATTTACAGCCTGTAGCCAGTGCACGGTCCGAGCCCCGCTGTCCCTGGGGCTGCGCAGGGGCAGGGACAATCCCAGCACGCGTCAGCCAGGGCTGAGGCCAGGGCACATCTCCGTTGGGCAGAAGAGCAGGAAGGCTGCAGGTATCCCCCTTCTCCAGTGCTGCCGGGGGGGTTTGCCTCTCTTATTCTTGCCATTTTTTAGGTGACTCTGCATTTGGCCTGTGCATCGGCAGGACGCGGGGAAGGGAGGGGATGCAGCACGGTGGGGGTGAGACCCATCCCTGATAGCTCGGCGGGTGCCGGCACAGCCTGGGGCCCGCGGGGACCTGCGGCACGAACTGCAATATTGGAAAATTCCCAAACAAAATTTCATGCACTAAATCTCAGGGCTGCGATTCTGCTGAGACCTGGCTTTATAATTGGATCTGTCAGAAACCCGTCACACTTAACGTGCAGCTGCCAATACGCCGTGTGGCTCCTCGCCGCACTCCACGGCCGGCGCTGGCTCTGCCCCTCTCCCTGCCCCTCGGCAGGCAGAGCCCTGCGGGCAGTGCGGGCTCCCCAGTCCAGCTGCACTGCCCAGCCGGGAAAGTCCTGACGTGCCCATCGCCCCAAGTCCTGACGTGCCCATCGCCCCAACCCACTGCAGAAACATCCCCAACTGCTGCTGCCCAGCCCAGCGTTGGGAACGGCTGCAACAGGAGTGCTGCTCATCCCACCCATTCCAGACACCGACCCCTCGGCATTCAACATGCCAACAGCTCTCCCCTCCCATTCGGAGCAGTGGACTGGGAATACCCGGTCTCCTGCCCCATGCCGGTGCTGCTGGATGCAGTTGCGGGTTCCTGTATAAAGAGGCAGGAGTTTTTGCATGAGGGCCGTGGGCTGCGCTGTCGCCATCGGCCCGGCGGGGGCTCCCAGTCCATCATGCCTCACACACCACCCGGCTGCTTCTCCTCCTGCAGCTGTGGTTATTTTGGCAGATGGTTTTTGTTCATTTGTTTGTTTCCCTCCCACGGTTTCTCTGCTATTACCCAAAACGGGGCACGGTGGGGCAGTGGCGGTGGGAGAGAGCAAGGAGCTGCTTCTCCTTCCCATCCTGTGCGGGACCACATGCCACTCTGCAATTTGAGCAAGTTTTGGTTTTTAAGTCCTTTTCGTGTTTTATGCGAGAGGGCGGCACTTGCCAGGCTCTCAGGAGAGATGGCACAGGTAACGTGGAGGCTCCTGTGTGCCGGCTGTGCAGTCGGGCAGGTCTGGTTTGTACTTTCTGTCACTGAAGCCTGGGATGCTCAGCAGCTTTGGGGGGAAAAAAAATGCATATTTGAACATGTTCCTGGAAGTTCTTCAATGTCATTTACCCTCCCCGACGCAGTGCAGAGCCTCGGGCTGCACAGTGGGACGTTGCAGCCCCTTGGTCAGGTCGGGCTGTGCCTCCCACCCATCCCCAAAGCCCCCACAGAGGGGCCGGGGCATTCAGGGCTTCTGAGGAAACATCCAGGGTTTTCCAGGGAAAGGTCAGAATTTCTGGTTCCTCTCTCTGCCCCAGGGGCCAACAGTTAGGGCCAGGCACTGGGGAAATCTGGCTGCCTGGGGTTTTCCAGCTTGAGGAAAGATCCAGCTTGCACCTGAACCTCCGGTCCTGGGAGCGGGGCAGTGCAGGCCAGCCCCTGCTTTGGCTTGGTGACGGCCCGAGTTTTGCCTCGAGGTGCCTCAGTTTCCCTCTCCACCACCGGGGAAGGAAGTGGGAGGGTGCCGGTGCCGGCGAGGCCACAGCAGTGTCAGCGAGGCGTGGGAGTCCAGCAGCCTGTGGCCACCAGGGAGGAGTGTGCCTGTGTGTTCTTCACCTGAGTAATCAAAACCTTTATCCAGTGTTTGATTAAAGGCCACAAAACATATTATCTTTGATTCTTTCGCTTTATTTTTGTTCCCTTCATTTGTCCCTTGGAGATGAGGGTTGCTCTGGTACTTATTAGTCACAAAGCCCTAACCTCGCGCTGCGTTCTTGCTATCTGAGAAATGAATTATTAATGGTGCATTAAACAGAGACTGGAAAGGGGCCCTGGGACACTGATAATCAGGAGCTAATTGAGGAAGAAATGAGATACCACTCCCATTGCAGAGCGAGGACTGTGCAGTGCTGCGATACCGAAGGTGACCCTGCTGCAACTCCTGGGCCGACTGCTCCAGGCTCTGCCTGCCCAACGCTCGCTGATGGGCATGCATGCTCTGCCCTGGCCGGGATGCTCTGCCCTGGCCAGGATGCTCTGCCCTGGCTCGGATGCTCTGCCCTGGCCGGGATGCTCTGCATGGTCCCTGTGCTCTGCTGTGTCCCGTGTGTCCTGTCTGACGTGGAAGACTGGAGCAGGCAGGGCACTGGCAGTGCCTGTATCTGTGTAGGCAGGAGGGTTGCAGCAGTGGGTTTGCACGGCAGCCGCTCCTGAAGGGAAGATGCAGTGAGGCACCGTTCCTCCCTGTGCTTCAGCCAATCCTGGATGAAATGGCACTGCCGAGGAACGGCCCTGGGGATGCAGGGGGCCCGGGAGCAGCGTCCCTGGCTGTGGCAGCGTTTGGCAGGAGGGACGAACGTGGCCGTTGGAATCAGGGGATTAGCACAGATTTTTTCCAGGCTGCCCACGAGCCTGCAGACAGCCTAGCCCAGCGCCATGCCGACATGCCAGTTGAGGCCCGGCAGAGCTCGGCTGCGGGGTGGTGCGGGGAGGAGAGGATCTTTCCCAGGAGACCGGAGGAGCCCCACGATGCTCAGCCCCCAGCCCCTCCGGCATGGCAGAGATGGGAGATGAAATCCTTCAGTCTCGAGGCAGAGGCTGCCTGAGCAGAGCAGGAGGGCTCATACCCTGATGGGTTGTTTATTTATTTTCCAGTACGTCGCCTGGTATCAGCCGTGTCCCCGCTTCCCTGCCTTGCTCTCGGGCTGGTACAGGAAGCTGCCTGGCACGCCGGCAGCTGGGGAGCAAACAGCAGTGTCAGCAAGCAGGAAGGTGCGTTAATAAAACCCGCAGCCTCGGCTGCGGCGAGGGCTGGCACAAGCTGGGGGGGGGCTGGCATGCACTGGGGGGGGCTGGCACACGCTGGGGGGGGCTGGCACCCGGGGCTCAGGCAGGCAGCAAGAAGAAATTGGACAAATGCATTCAGGCCCCTGGAAAGCTGCTGCATCCTGGATTTTCGATGGCATGAAGCAGCTCTGGGGGGCTGGCCGGGAGAGCCTGACCACAGGGACAAGGGTTCTTCCTCCAGGCTTCCCACTGGTACTTGGCAGCAGCCCAGGTGCCCAGGGTGGCACCTATGCTCACGGCCAGCTGCTGGCACAGGGATGATGTCCCACCTCGGCAGTGGCTGCTCAGGATGCTGGATCCCGCTCGGAACTCAGCTGAACTTCTGCACAAGTGGCTGGGGGCTGAACAGTTTCAATCATCTTTTATTTATTCTCTTTTACTGTTTTTCTACACAGCTTTGAGCCACGGGCCTGTCAAATTTTTCCTCTTCCACCCCAGCTCCATTAAAACATAATAAATGTCTCCTTTTAAGCCCGAGCCAAACGGCAAACCTGTGCAAGCCGTAAAACTTTCTGCAGCGGCTGAGGCAAAACTGTGAAAAATGCTGCGGCATGAATGATGTCCCCGTCTCGCTGCTGGGGAACTGAAAAGCTCTGAAATGTCCTCTCGCTATCAGGGCTGAGGGCTTGGGGCGCAGGCAGGGGCAGCCGGTGGGGTTGGTCCTGGGATGGCAGGGCATGACCAAAAATAGCATTTATTTTCTGTTATAAAACATATTGTCCATATTGCTAAAGCAGTTGGGGTTAATACTAGAAGGTGTTGAGCAAATCACAGCTTTTCTCTGTGCCTCAGTTTACCTCCTGGAAAAGGGGGTCCTAGCAGCCCCCCCGCAGTGCAGGCAGCAGGGCAGGCAGGGCAGCTGAGCCCCTGCGCCCAGGTGGGGCCGTTCAGCCTCCCCCACCCCAGAGCTGAGGCTTTAAAGGTGAGTGGTGCTGCTGTGGTGCTGGGGATGGTGGTGGTTCTTGGGGTTGGGGGATGTTGGGGGGCAGGGAAGGAAAAAAAGAGAACTAGGTTTGTTCTGTGGGGAAATGGTTATTTCTGCTGCTGGGATGGAGTTGGCCTCGGTGATGTTTCCTGAGCCCTGGAGGCAGGAGAATCCTTTGGGAACCAGCGAGCGTGTGTGGCTGGGGGAGCCTGGGGGCTGGGGGAGCAGCTGTCCCCCCTGGCATGGACCCAGACTTCTTCCTGTGGGCCTGCTCCTGCCCAGCCAGTCCAGCCATCCCCTGCGAAAGCTGCTGTGATCCCCCAGCCAGAGCCCTGTGGGGGGCTGCCCATGCTGCCAGCATGATGCCCCCACCTGGGCTGGGACCACTGGGCTTACGGTGCTGGTTCCCTGCCGCCGTGACCCAAGGAACCGCCTGGGGCTGGTGCTGCTCCCCCCAGGGCTCCGGCATGTCCCCCTGCTCCATGCTGTGAGGGCTCGCCCTTGCTCCCCTGGGTCTGGCACCATGTGCTTCAGGGGTCCTGCTGGGATGTGGCTGCCGAGTCTTGGGGGCTGGAGAAAGATGGGGAGAAGCCGCTGCCATCGGTCGCCCCGGTCACGTGCAGGGGATGCCTCTGCTGCTCTGCACGTGGCCAGCATCAGCCTGGTGCAGCCCCAATGTGTCCTGCTACCTCCCCTCTCCGAATACTGGTGGTGTTTTGGGTTTGAGACCTGACTGTCCCACTCCCCTCCTGGCACTGGTGGGCTCCACTCCGCTCCCCCTGAGCGCCCGGTTGGGGCTCCCCGCTCCGGCTCTGCTCTGACGTCACGCCAAAGCAGCCGCAGTTGATCTAGACTCCTCGCATAAATATTTATGCACTGATGCAGTGCTCTTCTAAATATAAAGCTTTATCTGGAATTTCATTTAAACATTAAGTGTAGATAATTTATTTATAATTAATGTAGACATCAAGTCCCATCTCTGGAATGCCTGTGAGCTTTCATTTATAATTGGGAGGTAAGTCAGAAGCTAGAGGCTGGGCCTCTTATCAGTTTCATTTTAATTTTCCTCCCACAGCAAATGAAGCTGGTGCAATTCATCTCATTAGGAGGAAGCGCAAAACTCCCCTAAAATAACAGTTTTATAGGGAACATGTAATAAACCCATCTTTGTTCCTCTCCTTGCCTTTGATAATGTTACCAGGGCTCACAGCTCCCTTCAAAGTGTTGCTCTTCCTTAAAAATAAGTCTATTAAAAATTAAAACTACTTTTCTGTATAATAAAATTTACTCCCTGCAATTATGCAGAGGGGCTAGTTATCTTCCTTTTGTAGATTTTAATTAAAAGTTACAATGGGAAGGAAGGAACAACTGCCATAAAATAATAGAAGTCTCTCCACTAACGATGAGTTATTGGTGCCTTTTTCACTCAGCCTTGCAGGAGCCGATGCTGCGGCCGAGGCAGCGGTGCCCAGCGCTGGCACGGGGCTGTGAGGGTGAGTGGTAACGGGGCTGCTGGGCGAGCAGGGCTGGGGCTGCGGGTGCCACGGGGAGGGAGCAGTTTCCAGGAGCTGGTGCTGGGGGTCCCTCTGTTCTCCCTGCACCTGGTGAAGGGTTTCCTGCACCCATGGGTGCCTGAGAGGGAGCAGTTTCCAGGAGCTGGTGCTGGGGGTCCCTCTGTTCTCCCTGCACCTGGTGAGGGGTTTCCTGCACCCATGGGTGCCCGAATGGGCGCTTAGCTTGGCAGAAAGCCCGTCTCGCACTGAACCCCCTGGCAGCGCTGGCTCTGACCTGTTTGCGCTCTCACTTCTGTGTCCTGGTTAGAAAACGGGGCCTGTTCTGTTGCCTGCAGCACCCATGGGTGCAAGGTGCTGGTGTCGGGGTGATGGTGTCTGTGCAGATCCTGGGGTGCAAACCAGGCTGTCTGCACAGCCCGGCTCTGCCAGGGGCACGGCTGCCCCAGGGGTGTGTTTAATCTCCAGGGGCGGGGGGGTCTATGACCCCCCCAGACGCTGGGTTCCTCCCAGTGGCACAGCCCCACCGGCGGCAGCTGGAGTCCCTGAGCCCTTCCTTGCAAAGTGTGTTATGGCAGAGCCGTGCCGCAGAAGCCGTGCGATGCACTCATCTGGCCCGGATATTTTACAAAGCTAAGAGGGACGATCAAAGGCAGCTCCACACTTGCACTAAAAATAGCGGGTGCCCGGGACAGAGTGGAGGCTGCCGGCAGGAGCCCGCGGTGCCTCAGTAACCTGTAAACACCGAGCGTCGCCCACAACAACGCCGTTGGGACTAGGTTGTCCCTGTTGCTTGTTCTTGAAGTCACAAAACAGCCCCATCTCCTCTCAGGTGCTGCAGGGTGACAAGGGCGGGTCCTGGACTGTGTGCATGGCCGCTGGCTCCATCCCATCACGGGGCTGGAGCTTCCCTGCTGCGGGACAGCCTCCAGACCGCCCCGCGGGACCAGGGCTCCCGCACCAAGCGCAGCTGCACCGCCTGGTTGGCCGGGCTCCCCCCGCAGGGACAGACCCTGTGCACCCGGTGCAGGATCAGCAGAGCTGCAGAGCATCAGCTGCTGCAAACATTCAAAATTCATAAACTAGGTCCCCAGGACCAAGGGATGGACGGCCTCCATCTCCCCAGTGTTTCTGTGATGGATAGTGCGCTCCTCTTGTTGCCTTTTGTTTTCTAAAGGTTTTGCTAGCGTGCTCCTTGCCTCGAGATTTTGTAGGCTCAAGTTAGGCATCTCTTGTGCCCAGGATTTTGATATGCCCCAAGATGGCTTTGAGGTTTTCATCCTCCCTTTTGCTTCCGACCAAACAACCCCAGTGGTGCAAGGGTTGCAGTGAAACAGGCAGGTGTCTTGTGTGCTGTGGCAGCTGTGACGATACGGGCGTTCGGGTGGCCGACCCCTCTGGCACCTGGGCTGGGTCACTGCCCTTGTCCTGCTGCCCCAGTGATGTGCTGGTGGAGCCAGAGCTCGGTGGCAGAAGTGCAGCTGTCACCGCGGAGGTAAGGCATCCGTTGAGTGTGGGGACAGATGCACAGACAGGTCACTGACTCAGTGCTCTTGCCCTGTCCTTAAAAGCAACAGGAAGGTGCTGCTGGACCACGGGTTGATCTTCAAACTGCACACCCTGGAGTGCTGCTGGTAACGGCCTTACCTAGCAGAAGAACGCTGAGATTTAATTAACGAGCTAGTTGCAAAGTGCTCGTGTGGAAAGGGCTGTATAAATGGAAAAGCTTATCCCATTTTTACAACTCTTACAGAGTGCAAACCTTTGCCCCTGAGGACACTGTGGGCTCCTCCGAATCCAAATGCGGGTGTTTGCCGGGCTGGTGTCCTCCCTGTCTGTGCTGACTGCCGGGTCCGATCACCGCATCTGGCCAGAGCCAGGTAATCTGCTAATTCAGCTAACGGGCACAGCACAGGCGTGAGAGCCAAGATGCTGCTATTGCTTGGGGCTGGCGCAGCTGCGCTCACCCTGTGTTGGCTTCTCGCTCTCCTCGATGGTGGTGGTGCTGCCGTGCCCGCATCCCGGTGTCTCACCGCCCACACCAGCAGCATGCTGTGGGAATTTAAGGTGAACAACCCGGAGCCCACCAAAGATGGGCCCTCACACCCAGGCTATCGACCAGGACCAATCCTGCCCCGTGCTGGGGGGGGGCAGGTAGGGTCAGTGCAGCCTCGGCACAAAAGCAAGGACGACTTCCCGCGGGCCGGGGCTGCCTGTCAGTGTCATTTCTTTAACCAGTTATGGCTGTTGAGATGTTCTGCTGCCTGTCTCCCCATCTCCTGCCCCCTTCTCCTGGCTGTAAAGATGCTAACCCCCATTGATCTGGATCTAAAACATTTATGAAATTTTTATGGGCTTTTGAAAAGATTTTAATTCCCTGACAGTGCTGCTTTCACCAAAAAAAAAAAAAAAATGACTCAATGAGCAATTATAGGCTTAACAGCTGCTGAACGGCCACGGCAGCTGCTGGAGCAGCTTGGCACGGCTCAGCGCAGCGGCCGAGGAGCCAGCGAGGCTTCCTGGAAAGCGATGCTGGGAATGAGCCGCCCCGTGCCGACCTCCCTGGGCTGCAGGACCCCGGCTCGGTTCCTGCGGCATGGCCCCTCCTCTGCCCACCCATCTCCTGTGGGCCTCAGTGCCCAGAAGCCCGGGTAGGGAGAGGCTCTGCCTGTCACAGGTCCCCTGCCGCATGGGAGGCAGTGATGCTGGGGAAGGGGATGAACAGCTCTCGGCTGTGGGACCCTGGCAGGTGCTGCAGGAGGGGACCCTCCTCCCCTCGGAGAAACCTTCGGGCCCTCGGTGGCAGCTTGCCCAGAGGAGGCTGGGGCTGGGGGGCTCTTGACCCTGGGTGGGCTCTCTTGGGGGGGCACTTTGGCAGCACCTGAGCTGCCGACTCATGTCTCTACAGGGCGCAGCAGACCCTGCGCAGCCGTTTTGGGGGGGATCTGTTGCTCATGAATCATGCACAAGTTGCTGCGCTGGCAGCGGCAGCCGGTGACGGCACCGGCTCTGTGCCCCGGTGTTTGCAGACAGGTTCTGTGCGGGGGTGTACGCGGGTGGGGACCAGCAGCCCAGGATGGCTCAGCGCCGGAGGCTTGGGCTGCACGCTCAGGACTGCTCCTTGCAGAGTCTGCCAGTGTGGGAAGGGCTTTGCAATAATCAGCTGCTTGAAATTGCTTTCAGAGACTCTCGCTTGCTGTGTCTCCTGGTCCGTCACAGGTGCTTGCAGTGGTGCCTCGAAGCAGGCGTAGCTGAGGGGCTAGACTGTGGTTTTCGAAGGTGGGCTCTTCCTCGTCGTCCCCTTCCCTATCTAGTGGTGATTTGGGACCCTGATGCTGCACAGGAGCCTGGGGCTCTCCGGGCAGGACGTGGGCAGGGCTCATGCTCCTATGGCTCCACGTTTGGGACTGGAAATATCCTGATGGCATTGTGTCCAGTGCAGCCTTCAGCTGCTCCGTCACCCCCGCCCGGCACCTGGCTCACCGGCGAGGTGGCACTGTGGTGTCCCCGGGCAGCGCCAGCACCTCCCTGCACGGTGAGATGCTTGGAGCTGGCGGGGCTGATAACGCAGCTCCCTCACTGCCGTGAGGATGTAGACCGTTGGGTTAATTGTGAAACAACTTATTTACTTGAACTCCGCAAACACGAGCAAAGGTGAAGCTTTGGCCCTGACGAGTGCCTGCTCCCCAGCGGGAAGAGGCTGACACTGAAGGAACATGTTAGAGGAGCAAACTCAAGCCGATGCTGGGGCTCTGCACTGTGCTCTGCCCAGCAAAGCCGCTGCGTCTGGCAAGGAGCTGGCATGGAGCTGGCCAGTGGCGGCTCGCAAAAGGCTTTCTCCCTGGTAGGCTTATTTCTTCTCTTTTTGAATGCAAAAAGCTGCTGTAAAGAAACGAGCACGGGGGTGGGAGAAACTTTGTGAGCAACTGCAGCGAGATGGAGGATTTGCATGTGCTGT